CCTGGGAAGAATGGGTGGTCCTTCAGGTCAGTGTTGACTATATGGGAGTCCAGCGACATAGCCATTACGCCAACTGCTAGTCCCACCTATAGCATTTTTTTAAAAAATTACATTACAGTGTATATTCAAGTCAGCCAGAATGCCTCATTGGGTGAGGTGTGTGGCATTTATTAAAATACTTTTGAGTATACAAGATAAAAAAACTTAGCATTTCTAATATAAAAATAACTGTTTTACTTTTTGTAGATTTGAGTTGGGCATGGTCATAGTAGATTAGGTGTTCAGTGATATTATTTTGCATTTATAGACTTCTTTTTTTCTCCCAGAACTCTCAAGCTAAAGATTTGTGTTGTTTGCTATCCAATTTTGAAAACTCCTTCAGAACGCAATCTTTGATACTTGAGCTATATTTCCAAGATGTTATTAATATAATTAAGTCTTGATTATTTAGTGTTTATTTATTTTAGATTTTTGCCATAGGAGGGTGCATGTGCTTGCTGCAAAGAGGCAGAGAGAAAGGGAAAGTGTGAAAGCACTCCCCAGGGACAATGGCCATGCTGCATTCCCTTCTCCACTCTCCTTCTGTGATTTTGGGCACACATGCACATAGACCAAACTTGATTTTCAAGCTGCTGGGCCCAGGATTCAAATTGCAGTTGGCCTCATGGGAGTCTAGTGCTTTAACCGTCACACCACCTGCTGGCCCCTATTAGTTTGCTTTTAAGTATATTATGATTTCATGTACTCTTACCTAGTGTGCCAGAGAAAAATGACCATAATGGTGTAGTGTCTTAGAAACCATGTTATCTGAGAAACCATGAAGAACCTGAACTTGTCTAGGAGGAAATATGATTTAATTTTGAATCACTTACTTTATAGAAGAGAGTGTTTTTTAAAAATTATTTTATTTTTAATTTTACCAGAGAAACAAAGAGGAGGGAAAGCGAGAAAGCAAGCCACCAGGTCTAGGACTCGAACTGTGGTCAGCCATGTGGGAGTCCAGTGCCTCAACCACCATGCCACTTGCCAACCCTGAGATTGGGCTCTTAAAAAATAGCTTCCACTGGGACCAGCAGTTAGCATAATGGCTATGTCACTGAACTCCCATGTAGTCAACCGTGGTTTGAGTCCCAAACCTGGTGGCTTAAACTCACACCTAGGGTCGAGTTAGTGAAATGACGAGCTGTGTCCAGGGACCCATCAAGCAGAGCCGCAGGGGCTGGCTGCTGTTTTTGTCCCCTCATTCGTAGACCCAGTCATGAGCACAAGACTTGTAGTCAACCAATTCCTCAGGCTTAAACCCCAGGCTGATTTCTTTTTCAGCGCTTTTTACTAAATCACTGCCATAAATGATATTTTTGCCCACTTGAATACAGAAGTCCCCACGAATGGTGCCTGGATTCAACTCTGCTGGATTAGTCTCCCCAAGCATCACTCGACCTGTCTTCACCACATTCAGGCCCTCCCAGACCATGGCCAGTACTGGCCCAGCGCTCATGTTCCTGACCCCCACATTCAGGCCCTCCCAGACCATGGCCAGTACTGGCCCAGAGTTCATGTTCTTGACCAACCCTGGGAAGAATGGGTGGTCCTTCAGGTCAGTGTTGACTATATGGGAGTCCAGCGACATAGCCATTACGCCAACTGCTAGTCCCACCTATAGCATTTTTTTAAAAAATTACATTACAGTGTATATTCAAGTCAGCCAGAATGCCTCATTGGGTGAGGTGTGTGGCATTTATTAAAATACTTTTGAGTATACAAGATAAAAAAACTTAGCATTTCTAATATAAAAATAACTGTTTTACTTTTTGTAGATTTGAGTTGGGCATGGTCATAGTAGATTAGGTGTTCAGTGATATTATTTTGCATTTATAGACTTCTTTTTTTCTCCCAGAACTCTCAAGCTAAAGATTTGTGTTGTTTGCTATCCAATTTTGAAAACTCCTTCAGAACGCAATCTTTGATACTTGAGCTATATTTCCAAGATGTTATTAATATAATTAAGTCTTGATTATTTAGTGTTTATTTATTTTAGATTTTTGCCATAGGAGGGTGCATGTGCTTGCTGCAAAGAGGCAGAGAGAAAGGGAAAGTGTGAAAGCACTCCCCAGGGACAATGGCCATGCTGCATTCCCTTCTCCACTCTCCTTCTGGGATTTTGGGCACACATGCACATAGACCAAACTTGATTTTCAAGCTGCTGGGCCCAGGATTCAAATTGCAGTTGGCCTCATGGGAGTCTAGTGCTTTAACCGTCACACCACCTGCTGGCCCCTATTAGTTTGCTTTTAAGTATATTATGATTTCATGTACTCTTACCTAGTGTGCCAGAGAAAAATGACCATAATGGTGTAGTGTCTTAGAAACCATGTTATCTGAGAAACCATGAAGAACCTGAACTTGTCTAGGAGGAAATATGATTTAATTTTGAATCACTTACTTTATAGAAGAGAGTGTTTTTTAAAAATTATTTTATTTTTAATTTTACCAGAGAAACAAAGAGGAGGGAAAGCGAGAAAGCAAGCCACCAGGTCTAGGACTCGAACTGTGGTCAGCCATGTGGGAGTCCAGTGCCTCAACCACCATGCCACTTGCCAACCCTGAGATTGGGCTCTTAAAAAATAGCTTCCACTGGGACCAGCAGTTAGCATAATGGCTATGTCACTGAACTCCCATGTAGTCAACCGTGGTTTGAGTCCCAAACCTGGTGGCTTAAACTCACACCAGATGCATCTGTGTGCCTGCCCAGGATCCCAAGAGGAGAATGGAGGAGAAGGGATTGCGGCGTTGCCATTCCCCCTGGGGGTTATTTCTCGCTTTCTGTCTCTCTGTCTCTCTCTGTCTTTCTGGCAAGCACACACGCCCTATAGCAAAAAACTCCCCCCCCCCAAAAAAAAAGCTTCCACTAATGATTAGAAATTACAGAAAAACAAATTATTCTTTGATGTAGAATAACCTAAAATTATGTAATTGTCAGTCAGTAGCATTACTTCCGTAGTCTCGCACTGTAAATTGCTAATGATCCAACGTCATATTGACAAATATTGTGCTTTTTAAAAAGTCCTTGTGGCCAGCAGGTGACATAGTGGTTAAGATGCTGGATTCTCACATGGCCAACCTGGTTTGAATCCTGGTGGTGGCCTGAAAATCATGCTGGGCTCATGTACATGTTCACCCCAAATCCTGAGAGGAGAATGGAGAAGGGATTGCAGGATGCCCATTTCCCCTGGGGGGTGATTTCTTGCTCTCTGTCTCTCCAAGTGAGCACGTGCTCCCTCTAGCAAAACAAAACAAAACAAAACAAAACAAAACAAAACACCTCTTAAAAAAAGATTAAAAACAGGGACCAGCAGTTGACGTAATGGCTATGTTGCTGGACTCCCATGAAATTGACTGTGGTTCAAGTCCTGGACCTGGCGGCTTAAACTCACGCCAGGCGTGTTTGTGTGCGTGCCCAAGATCCCAAGAGGAGAATAAAGGAGAAGGGATTGTGGCATGGCCATCCCCTTGGGGGGTGATTCTTTGCTTACTTTTGCTCTGTATTTCTGGCGAGCGCATGCACCCTGTAGCAAAAACCTCTCCAAAAAAAAGATTAAAGACATTAATATATGAAAAACACTTAAAACAGTACCTGGCACATATATGCTTTAATTCTTAAAACAGTTGTGTAAACTAACCAGTCTTAAAACCAGTAAATCGGGAGGCAACAGGACTGATAAAATTTCCAGCTAAACTGAAGTCTTTGTTCTTCAGTGTGTTGTTATAATGCCTCCTTGAGAGAGCATTTAAAATGCTGAAATAATTAATTGTTATATAAAATTTCAACTATTACTAACCTTGAGAATGTTAGTATGTAAAACCAGAGCATGAAAAATATGACAGAAAGTCAAAGCATGTCTGGGGAATGTGTTAAAATATTAAATAAAAAAAGCACAACTGTGAAAACTTTGTCAGTTAGTGACTATTAATGTAAGTCTCATGAAATGGCACCCAGACTTTAAAAACAATCACATAACGGCATTTAATATCTTAATTGAAAACTAATTTTAAACTGAGAGTCTCTGTTATGAGCAGCTGTGAGGATTGTAATGCTATTAGGCTCCTTTCTTACTTCATTAACCATGCTACTTGTTTTTCTTCTCTTCCTGCAAAAATGACTCCTAAATTCAAGGAGTTTGAAAAATTGCCACAGCTTTTGGCATGTAGAAGAAATATGTGCCTTTCTCATCTTTCCCCAAGTTAACTGTTGTGTTCCTATAAGATAATTGATTTCAAAATAAACAATGTAAGAAAGATTATCTATCATAAAACAAATGATGTGCTGTTCATGTAACTTCTTTATGTAGTAAATGGATTAACAAGTATATTTGAAGGGCCTGCAGGTGGCTCAGTGGTTAAGGCACTCAACTCCCATATGGTCAACCATGGTTCAAGTCCCAGACTCAGTGGCTTGAAACTCACAGTGGTTGTATGTGGATGGATGCCCAAAATCCTGAGAGGAGACTGGAGAAAAGGGATTGTGGGGTGGCCTTCCCCCTGGGGAGTGATTTCCTTCTTTCTTTCTTTCTGTCTGTCTGTCTGTCTGTCTGTCTTTCCAGTGAACGGGACATACCTTATAACAAAAATCTCTGAAAATAAAAAAAAGATTCAAGAACAGGAACATCTTACTAATAACCCTGTACTTGCACTATATCAGAATTTTACTGATGGTAAAGTTAAAACACCTGAAGAAGAAAATTTTATCGTTCATGAAAATCATTGTTCTATTTCAAAAATGTAAATACAGAACAACTTTTGGATGCTATTCTTTTTCTCTAAAGAAAGGGAACAAATTAAATGCTTCAAAGACACTTTTCAGCTTAAAATGTCTCAGAAAACACATGACTTTGGCTTATAATACCCACTATATTTTTTTACCTCTTTCCTAAAGGATCGTCTCTACTGAATTGGACATAATAAGATTTTAAGTAACACTGACACAATGATTTTATTTTTGCATATGTTCTCAAATAGTGATGAAGCTGTCATCAATAAAAAACTTCCCAAAGAACTCCTATTACGGTAAGTCTGAATGCTAATTTTATGGGTTTTTTTGGTATGTATATCATCATATTTACCTATTTAAAACTTTTTAGAGCTATTGATAATTTCCATATAGATATAATATCTGTGTTGTCTGAATTTAAAAATTTATAGATTTTTTTAAAGTTATTTCATTCCATTTGTTATTAATTTTTAATTTGAACAGAAAGAGGGTGAGAGAGAATGGGAAAGCGAGAAAGGAAGCCACCAGGTCTGGGACTTGAACCACAGTCGGCCATGTGGGAGTCCAGCACCTCATCCACCATACCTAACCTGCTGGCCCCATTCTAGATATGGATCAAGATACTTAAGATTAATTTAGTAGTAATTTTTTTCACTTCTAACTTGGACCTATTAATGATTTTGTTTACTAATTTTTCCCTTTCTCCTATTCCTTCTTTTTTTTTTAATTAGCAATAATCGCGTCTTGGATAAACCTCATTGGCTATACTGCCATTGCGCAAAGCTTCTTATTTTTTTTTTAAGAATTTTATCTATCTATCTATCTATCTATCTATTTATTTATTTTAATTTGACCAGAGAGGGATGAGTGTGTGTATGTGAGAGAAAGAGAGAGAAAATGAGAAAACAAGTTGCTAGGTTCGGGACCTAAGCCATGTTCAGCTATGTGGAAGTCCCAGCGCCTCCAGCCACCTGCTACCTGCTGGTCCCCTCTTTGTCCTATTCTTATACATAATGTAAAAGAGGCAGCATTTTTTTTTTATCTTATTATCTTGAGTCTTTTGAGGAATGATTCTTTTTTTTTTTTTAAATTTGCTATAGGATATGTGTGCTATCCAGAGAGACTGGGAGAAAGTGAAAAAGCACCTGTCATGGGGCATAGTCATGCCACACTCCCTTCTCCTCCATTTTCCTTTCCTTTTGAGATTTTGGGTACACATGCTCATGTGCCCACTGTGCCTACCATGCCCACCATGTTTTGTAAGCCACTGGGTCCAGGACTTGAACCTCACAGTTGCTGTGTGTGATGGGCTTATTTTTTATTTTTTTTTGGAGAGGTTTTCGCTATAGGGCGCATGCGCTCGCCAGACAGACAGAGAGAGACAGAGAGACAGAAAGTGAGAAATCAGCCCCCAGAGGGGATGGTCACGCCGCAATCCCTTCTCCTCCATTCTCCTCTCGGGATCTTGGGCATCCATGCACATGCGCCCGGCGTGAGTTTTAAGCCACCGGGTCCGGAACACGAACCGTGGTAGACTACGTGGGAATCCAGCGACATAGCCATTATGCTAACTGCTGGTTCCCCATGGGCTGATCTTAAGAGTGATACTAATCTATCTTTACCCCACACTCTTCGTCCCCAATATCAAAATATGCTCATAGGGGCCAGTGAGTGACATGGTGGTTAAGGTGCTGGATTCTCACGTGACTGACCGTGAATTGAGTCCCAGACCTGGTACTAGAAAATCAGACCAGGTATATGTGTGTGCATGCCCAAAATCCCAGGAGGACAATGGAAGCAAGGGGATTACAGCATTGTCATCCCCTACTGAGGGCTGATTTCTCACCACCTCTCTCTCTGGCAAACACACATGCCCTATGGCAAAAACCTTAAAAAATAAAATAATAATGCCAGGACCAACAGTTGGCGTAATAGCCAACTGTTGGGTTGGACTCCCAAGTAGTCGACCGTGGTTCAAGTCCCAGACCTGGTGGCTTAAACTCACCCCGGGCGTGTGTGCATGCATGCCCAAGATCCTGAGAGGAGAATGAAGGAGAAAGGATTGCAGTGTGGCCATGCCCCCGGGGGGTGATTTCTCACTTTCTGCCTCAATGTCTGTCTCTATCTTTCTGGCGAGTGCATGCACTCTATAGCAAAAACCTCTCCAAAAAAAAAACCTGTAGGGACCAGTAGATCATGTAATGATTACATCTTTTGACTCCCACCACGTAGTTGACTGTGGTTCAAGTCCCAGGCCTGGCAGCTTAAAACCCATGCTGAGCACGTGGGCATACATGCCCAAAATCCTGAGAAGAGAATGGAGGAGAAGGAGTTGCAGCATGGCCATCCCCCCTGGGGTGCCTTCTCTCTTTCCGTCTGTCTGTCTCTTTCTGTCTCTCTAGCAAGTACATGCATCCTATAGCAAAAATCTCTCTCTTAAAAAATATGCCCATAAAGTGACTTATATTTGGAATTATAGCCCTTTATTTTATTTATTTATTTTATTGGATTTTTGTTATAGACCACACGCACTTATTGGAAAGACAGTGAGAGAAGGAAAGTGAGAAATCAACCCCAAGGGGGAATGCTATGCTGCGGTCGCTTTTCCTCCATTCGCTTCTTGAGATTCTGAGCACACATGCACATATGTCTGGTGTGTTTTTCAAGCCACCAGCTCCAGGAATTAAACCATGGAGTGGGCCATGTTAGATCTAGCTCCTTAACTACTATACCACCTGCTGGCCCTGTAGCCCTTTATTTTGAAATTTTTTAAAGAAATAAAAGTTAATGTGAAACTGCCCTTGCCTATAACATATTTTTATGATTTTACTGCTTTTATTGTTAATATATAAATCTATATTAGGGTATTATTCATAACATAAAATATACAACCCCCAATTTACAAACATCTTACTCAGGAATACCTGAGGGGAAATGGACATGAAAGGAGTTATTTTCAGAGCCCCTGTTTTGAGCACTTAGTCATAACATAGTTTTTGTTCATTTACATAGAAAATCATGAGTGAGAAAGAAAGGTACAGGGGACCAGCTGTTGGCGTAATGGCTATGTCGCTGGACTCCCATGTAGTCAACTGTGGTTTGAATCCCAGACTCGGTGGCTTAGACTCACACCGGGCACGTGGTGTATACCCAAGATCCTGAGAGGAGAATGGAAGAGAAGGGATTGCGAAATGGCCATCCCCTCTGGGAGGTGATTTCTTGCTTTCTGTCTCTGTTTCTCTCTCTCTTTCTTGTGAGCACATACGTCTAATGGCAAAAGCCTCTCCAAAAAAAGAGAGAGAGAGAGAGAGAGAAAGAAAGGTACATTCTCTTTTGCAAATGTTTGTAATCTATTTTTTTTTTTTTTTTTTTTTTTTTAAGAAATAACTTTTGCTATAGGGTGTGTGCACTCACTGAAGCAACAGAGGCAGAAAGTGAAAAATCACACACATACACACCCCCGCAGCAGGGCTGGCCATGCTGCAATCCCTTCTCTTCCATTCTTCTCTTGGGATTTTGGACATACACCCACATGTGCCTAGCATGTTCTTTTTTTTTTTTTTTTTTTTTTAGAGTTTTTTGCTATAGGACACGTGCGCTCCCCAGAACAGAGAGAGACAGAGAGATAGAAAGTGAGAAATCACCCCCCAGAGGGGATGGCCATGCCGCAATCCCTTCTCCTCCATTCTCCTCTTGGAATCTTGGACACACATGCACACGCACCCGGCGTGAGTTTAAGCCACCAGGTCCGGGACTCGAACTGCAGTTGACTACGTGGGAGTCCAGCAACATAGCCATTATGCTAACTGTTGGTCCCAACCTGGCGTGTTTTTTAAGCCACCAGATCTGGGACTCAAACTGTGGTCAACTATGTGGGAGTCCAATGACATTAACTATTATGGCACCTGCTGGTCCCAGGGTCATCTACTTCTTACCCTTAGGAGCTTCTGCAGTCTACCCTATAACCAACCCCATGCTTGCTTCAGTGTAGAAAATAATCTCTCCTGTATTACTGGTAAAGAAAAATATTCCAGGCATTCCTAAGTATTGAGTTGTCAGAAAAGTTAACGTGTACTTTTGCATAGAAAAACGTAGAAAAATATGTCATGACTTTGCCAATGACCCAGTATTTGCATATCTAAGTCCTCTTCTAAATTGCAAGATTCTTGCAAGCACAGACTATACCTTATAACATTTATATATTCTGTAGACTTTATACATTAGAGAAAAGGGTCAACAGATGGTGTGGTGGTTAAGACGCTAAACTCCTACATGTTCAAGTGCAGCTTGAGTCCCAGCCTGGGCTGCTTGAAAATCAATCCGGGCGCATGTGCGCATATGCCCAAAATCTCAGGAGGAAAATGGAGAAGAAATTGCAGTAAGACCATCCCCCTGGACAGGGGGTAATTTCTCACTTTCCTTCTCAGTCTCTGCTTCTGGTGACCACATGCACCTTATGGCAAAAACCTTAAAAATGAAACAATAAACAAACAAACAAAAAAATGGTGAGAAAAAGTAACCAAATCAAATTTAGAATGCATTTTCCATAGAAGCAATGTATACTTGCAGATCATGTGTGGTTCAAATAATAGTGTTTATCATTAGACTACAAAGAGCCATTGGAGAATATGTCCTGAATACTTGTCTTTCTAAAATGTCAGTGAAAGTTGGCCATGTTCTTTTATTTCCCCCCAGAGGTTTTTGCCATAGGGCACTTACGCTCACTGGAGAGACAGAGACAGTAAGAGGGAAAGTGAGAAATCACCCCCCAAGAAGGATGGCCTTGCTGCAGTCTATTCTCCTCCTGGGATCTTGGGCATGCATGTACATGTACCCAGTGTGATTTTCAAGCCACCAGGTTTGGGACTCGAACCACAGTCTCCGTGTGGGAGTCCAGCAACGTAACCATGACCCCATTTGCTGTGAAGTTGGCCATCTTTAAAGAGACAAAAATAATTTTTCTTTGAACTGTCTCCACAGTGTAGTGGTTAAGGAAGCTAAATCCCACATGGCCAACCATTATTACATCTACTGGTCCCTTTTCCCACATGGCCAACTACAGATTGAATCCCAGCCCAAGCAGCTTGAAAAATATATATGTATGTATATGTGGGTGTGTGCGCCTAAAATACCATCAGATTGGAGAAATGAAGAAGGTATTCTAGTGTGACCATGCCCAATGTGGGAGTACACTCTCCCTTTTCCTCTCTTGGTCTCTGCGGCAAGTGTATGTACCTTTAAGCAATTAAAAAAAGAGAGAAATATCTTTTTGGAGAGGTTTTTGCTATAGGGCGCG